ATTACCTATTTTCACTATCTTCAGACGATGATTTCATATCTATGTGGATTGATTGTTCTGGAGATATTGGATCTTCAATGACTTGAACATCATTAGCATTTAAATCAAACGATTCATCACTAAGAAAAAAAAAGTACACAATGTAATACATAAATCTTTAACTAAGATAAGTGTAGTAGATAATATAATAGTGGAAAAATAATATTTTTGAATGGGGTAAATACTTTGTAAAACGTGCTGAACGTTGCAAAACATTCTTCATAGTTTTGGCATAATTTTTGTTATAACACAATCTACCACAACAGCATAGTTATTTATCTATGTTATATTTTAGATAAGGATATCTCCAAACATTTTTATTCAACTGCCATATAAAAATTAAGTTTTTCGTAGGCCTAAGTATACACAGCCTGTAGTATGGAGACTCTTATTCTATATTGAATAAAAAATTCACATAATAAACCCTGTGTATGTCCCAAAGCTATACAAATTATTAACATAACATTTATTTCTATCCAAAATGTTTTTTTTTGGGATAGTGTTTATACAAAAATACCAAATATTTATGTATTTATACAGAATATTTAGTATTTAAGTAAAAATGGTTTTCTTATAACTAGCCATAAATTAATAGGTTAGAAACAAATATTATATGTACCTTATAATGGAATATGTCCTTTCCTTTTCTTTATTATTTTCCTTCTCATCATTACTATTATCGCTTCCAGTATTTACTGGATTTTTTGGTTTTTCTTTTGTAATGGATGTGACCTCTGGTTTACCAGAGCATTTTAAATTTTTATTTGATTCATTTTTTTTTTTTATAGTTTCAGTTTTTTTTAAATAGGCCTGTGGCTTTTCTGTATTTTCATTGCTAGTATGTTGTGAAGTACATTCTTTCTGAGTCACATCATTTTTAAACACTTCTGTGGTTTTAGAGTCATTTTCTATTTTACAATGACCATTATCACAGCAATAACATTTATGTTGATTTTGCTGATTAGATAATACTGTGACTAACAATTTTTGTATGGTTTCTAAAAGAAGTTTCATTTGATCATTTTGTAATTGCATCATGCTATAAATATCCTTGACAGTAGGTGTATTTTGACAGGCACATTTGTGATAATCGCTTCCAGCTTTGTAAGAAATTTTGTCAGAAAAGCGACTATAAGGGTTTTGATCACAATCGCTGTATGACGAAGACCCATAATATTGCTTATCGCGTGATTCGTAATAATGAGTTTCTTTATGTACTGGAGGTGAGCGATTTTGACGATTTTTCCATTCATTATACGTTTCATGAGACTTTTGACTGTTTGCATAATATGATGGGTTCCTATTTAATGGTTTTGAAATATTTTCTGACGAATCGAATACGACTGATAATTCTGGAACCTCAGGTTTGGCTGATAATTCCTAAAAACATTAAATTCAAAATTTTAGGGAGGATATAATACATTTTAAATAAACATTCGAAGAGCATTGGAATAGTTTTTATTGTGAAAAAAACATTTACTTGAAACTGAGTGGGTTTAGGCGCCGAACGAGGTTCGAGTTCATCATTACTGGTATTGGAGTACATCATGGCTTTAGATTGAATGGTTACACAACGAGACATTATTTTGTCATTTTGTGATCACAAATTGGTCTTATCAGAAATCCGTTAAAAGTTACTTTATAGCGCTATCTAGGAGTTTACATTTACATAATGAAAATTGAATTTTGTTTTTTCGTGTTACAATATTTATTATCCATTAATGTTTCAAATGAATCAATCAAATATTATGAAATGAAAAGGATATCACTATGTCAGCAATCAGCATTCTTAAATGTAAAATCAATCCTGGGAAACTATTAAAATTTAGAGTGAACTAACAAAAGAACAGCAACCCAATAACTATCCATCAATGAATGGCCACTTCACAGTTCACAAAAGCTCCGTCTGATCCTCCTGAAGTTTTTTTATTTCGTCGTCGTTTTTAGGAGTGCCAAAAAGAGTTTTAGAAGCACAATGTGACTCACGAATTGCACAATAATCTGACATAATAACCAAAAAGGCAATAAACGTATTCTCAAAACCAATGATCAAACACTACAGTCTACAGTACTACGGTCTACCTACTAAATAGATAGACCTTACGAGCAGTGAATGATCATAAATAACAGTTATTTAATAACTAAATAATAATAATAATAATTATTATTCAATATTCAATATAATTCAATATTATCATTATTATCACAGATTATATAAAATCTAAAACCTATTCTGTGATATCGCTTCCTCGGTAAACTTTATATATTTATTATTAATCAATATCTAATTTTGATAACAATATTTTGATATTTTAATTACATTAGTCATACATTGAATTACATTGAATATTCATACTTTCCTAGACTTGAACCGTGGATGAGACACTGGATGCCATAGTGGTGTCGAGTGAGGAAAACCGTCGTTTTACAATATTTTACATTTAGCATTTTAAGAATTTAGGCTTAATTAGCGGTTAACATGTAGTTATTAACCCATTGTTAATCATTTTTTTTTACTWAATAAAATTATGTATGTTTTCGAACGATACTGTTATTACAAATTAGTTGTTCGACTATGRCTAACCATGCATCTTCAATTAATATAAATYTCCATGAGATAAATCTAATTTTTCATTCTTATAATTAAAGTAAGTTGATATTATACAATACCTACTTATTTTGTCATTAAGTGTTATGTTATGTCATTAAGTTTAAGCGTAGTTAGATTATTTTACGAATAGTCAAGTCAATTAATTATTAGTGTTTACCATTCACTGGTTTCAATGCCATAGCGTTACACTTAAGGTCAAATGAAGTAGTAAGGTTTACTTCCTAATTATGTAAAAAACAGTTATACATTACATTGAATCACTTAACTTTGATTAGTGGAAGATGAATGATTCATTTTAAATTATGTATAAATAAATTTAGGAACATAATTATCATTGGTTTTTAATTTACAGGACAAAGTTTTCTTTAGTTTTTACCTTCCTATTTTAACTGTTATAACAATATGGATGATGATGATAAAAAAGGGTAAGTTAATTCTTATTAAATGTTTCTAAATGTATTAAATGCATTAAATGCTTGCTTATACAGACGTATGTTGTTTATACGTTAAAAAATTATTTGTAAAGATAAAAATAATTAATGTTTTATTTTCTTTTTTTTAATCAATTTTAATAGACAGTTAAGGCTGGGAAACTAAATTATTTTTTATTATTTCTTTTAAGAAGTTCAAATTTAGTTAACTTAATGTTATTTTTGTAAAGTTGAATAGTTGATATTTTAGCTTTGAATGCTTAAAAGATAATT